TCGTAAGGTCCCTCCCATGTAGCTGAGAGCTTCCCATGGATTCGGCCTTTCTGAACTGCAGCAGCATTCCGAAGGACAAGATCCCCAATTTTGAGAGGCCTTGCATGGACCCTTCGGTTATGGGAGATGAGGTCTGAACTTATCCCGGGCATATCAGCTGCCGAGAAAGCAAACACATCTCTGTTATCCCGCAGGAGCTGAATAAGTTCACAACGGGTGTTAGGATCAAGGTCCATCCCGATTGTTACACATTTCTCAGCATCTCCTTCGGCCAACTCTGCTGTTTCAGTCTGTTGGTCCATGTCCATTGCCGATGGACTGGACTCTTCAGAATCTGGTCTGCTGCCAATGTCAGCAGGTGTCCCAGTCTTTGTGTTCTTCGGCTGGCTCTCTGAGTCTTTCGGCTCAGATGAAGAGTCAACCTTTTCCCTTTCGGGACCTTTTTCTCTGGGCACTGATCCTTGGGCCGAAGCACTTAGGCCTTTCGGCTTTTTTGTGCTTGGCTCTCTTTCTTTTTCTTTCTCCTCCTCATCCTTGTCGTTATCTGGGCGACTACTGGATGGCTTGAGGTAGTTGCACCTTCGGGCGTCCTTCTGGTTGCCCTGTATCCTTTCGGGGAAGCCGGCGTCTGAGACATAAATCATCAGCTGATGATAAGTTGAGACGACCCCTTGGATCTCGTGAATTATGGGTCTCCCCAAAATCACGTTGTACACTGAAGGAGCGTCGATGACCAAAAACTCAATCATGACGTTCCGGGCTGCCTCATCGCAACCGATGGTGACAGGGAGTGTCACCTTCCCATCTGGATAAGTTGAAGCCCCATTGAACCCGGATACCGGATAGGGTACCGGCGTAAGGTGCTTGGGCTTCAGCTTAATTTGGTTGTAGGCCTTTCGGAACAGAATGTTTGCTCCGCTGCCACCGTCAACAAGGACCTTACTGACGTCGTGGTTGGCCACCGTGGCGATGATCACCAACGGATCCTCGTGAGGGAACGTAATCCCCCGGCAGTCGGCGGCTGTGAACGTCATGTTCGGCACCGGCGACTGGGGAGATTGAATGTCAGCGTTGTTCACCTGGTGAGTCAAAGCTCTAAGGTGACGCTTGTGCTCCCTCCGAGAGTATATTCCTCCCGAGATAACATTGATCGGAGGGAATTTCCCCTCCGGTTTTTTACTGTTTTTCCGAGGGAAATCAAGGTCCTGCCGAGGGTCCTTTGCTAACCTTTCGGATTCTTTTTTCTCGCGGTGATCCGCGATGTATTTTTTCAAGTATCCCTTCCGGACCATGTCTTCTATCTGGTCCTTCAGCTGGATACACTCCTCAGTGTTGTGGCCCGAAGACTCGTGGAACTCACACCACTGATTTTTATTTTTTCGCTGATACCACTCTGGGAGTGGTCTCGGCTTTCGGTAACTCTGCTCCTCCTTCGTCACACTGTAAATTTTGGCGCGTGGAAGAGAGAGCGGAGTGTAGGACTCGTATCTGCCTGTGTATGAGGCAAACCTGTCCTTCTTTAGGTCGCTGGCCGAAGATGGCTCCGGAGCCTTTGATTTTCCCTTTGCCTTATGGCCTTGGCCTTCAGACAAAGGTATTTGCCTCTGTTTCCCTCCCCCGGATTGAGGTTGGGTTTTTGCTTTATTCCATTCTTCGGCTCGGATGAACTTATCCGAAGCACTAAGAGCTTCCTCCAAGGTCTGCGGGGTATGCATGACCATGAAGTCTAGGAATTTTCCTGGCTGAAGGCCATTCTGCATTGCAAAAACAGCTAGCCCCTGGTCCAGCTGAGAGACGCTTGATGACTCGTTACTGAAACGGGTCAGGTAGTCTCGGAGGCTTTCGGTTTCCCCCTGTTGCAGACCCATGAGCTCTGCGGTAGTCTTTTCTCGGCGGTTTGCCGTGGAAAACTTGCTCCTGAACTTGGAGGACAGATCATCCCAACCTGTTATGGAGCCTTGCCTTACTCCCTTGGAGATCCACGCTTGCGCGACCCCCTTGAGAGTGGTTGGGAAATATTTGCACCAAGTCGCCTCGGATCTGGGGCAAAGATGCATATGAGTCTCATACGAGGCCACGTGGTCCTTCGGATCCGTGGTCCCGTCATATGTGATATGCGACGGTATTTTAACCGTGGGTACGCGCTCTTCCAGTATCCATTGCTCGAATGGTGAACTAGCGGGAAGCATAATGGCCTTGCCCTTGTTCCTGGCCGAAGGGACCGCGCTCCGCCCTCTTAGAGAGGTAGGAGTGGTTTTCGTCCCTGGCTGGGAAGTCTGGGCCTCGGCTGCAGGGAACGAGAGGCGACTACGCACGCTCGGTTCCTGGCCGCCGAGTCGGTCAAGGACGCTTCTGCGAGCAGTCTCGGGTTCCCGGCGAGTAGATTTTGGCCGAGAAGCTGAGCTGCTGCTCTTATGCGCTGCTGGTCTTGAGGATGAGGATCCTTTAAATAATTGAGAGTTCTTTTTCCTCTGTTTTTCATTTTTCCAAGAATCCTCCTCCCACTCTTCCAGCTCCCGGAAGGAAGGAAGCTTCCCACCGTCATGGTCTAACTTCCTCCGCTGATGCCGGGTATGCGGAGGAGTTTGATCACGAGGCGGTGGCATATTCTGTGCCCTCATTGCCTCCATGAGTACTGCCAGCGCTCTTGCCACCTCTTCCGAACTGGGCCCCGTCAAAGGGGTCCCCGGCCGAGTGTGGTAATGAGGCCGTGCAGCCGATGGTTGGCTTTGGGACACTGAATATGTCCTATGATCAGACTGACCCCTGCTAGACCGAGAGTGGTCCGGCCTATATTGAGAGTCATGCATTATAGGAGATAGGGAATCCTCCTTGTGTGATCCTCCCCCCGAGCCGGCACCCTTGGGAGAGTTCCGGTCCGGCGAGGGCGATGGTGTAGGGGTTTTAGGCTTTTCGCCCGCTCCTTGACGGAGGCTTTTGCTCTTGCGGTTCTTAGCCATGGCTGCTAAGATAATTGCAAGATGATCTTGGTTAGGAATTTGGCTTAAAGATTTTTGAAAGTCTTCCCCACAGACGGCGCCAAATTGTTTCGGTTGAAAACAATGGGACCTTGCCGAAGGTCCACTAAAATGGAGAAGACTGGATTCGATCCAAGCTGTGTTGGGCCGAAGGTTTCCTGCACAGTGAACACACGTAAACTAGCCTCGGGGGTGTTTCCGAGGAAGGCCCCTCCGATGCTAAAGTCAGTACAATGTGTAAAAAGGAAGACACTATGCAAGAGAGTTTGTAGCTTGAGGCTTTTGTGGAGTATTCCTCAATGCAAGAATGAGCATATGAGTTGGAATAATCGGTGTATGAGATAATGCATGTGATGATGCGTCTGTTGTTGTGTCTGATCTCGTTGATCTCGTATGTGATGTTATGAGATGTCCTCTTGAATGTGTTAATATGAGGGCTTTTATACCTCATCATATTTGGAGAGGTTGGGCTTTAGCCCAATTGGCTTACTTTGTGGGCTGACTTTTGACTTTTGAGCAATTGGAGAGTTGAACCTTGACCTTGGGCTTTTAATTGGATCATTTAGTGCTCAGGCCCAATTTTGACTAAATTGGACCCAAACACTATCAATCTAATATTTCCTATGGGGTTCTTCTTTGTGGGAGATTGAGGGTGGGAAATGAAAATAGAAAGTTTAATCTCAAGTGTTCAAATCTCATAATTGTTCATGAGGATTGAGATTGAAGAACTTTGGAACATTTTCTTTCTATGCCCAAGGATTTAATATCAAGTGATGGGACTAGGGGTTGAGAATAAGATTAAACCAAAATGACTTTTTACCCTAAATGAAAGTGAAAGAAGTTAGAACTCACTAAATCAACATTAAGGGTAGTTTTGCAACCTTTATATTCTCAACATAGTTTCAACATCCACTAAATAAGACATTGGGTATTTTTTTTTTTTTTTAATGATTCTCAATAAATAATTCTCAATCGTTATCTCATCATCACCCCCACACACCAAACGACTCATTAAAACAATAACCCTCTAAGATTTGTCATTTCAAACTCTTGTAGCGAATTTTGTCTAGTACTAGTAGGTTCAGGCTCATCGAGAAAATACTTAGAATATACTTCAATTGGGGGCCTTAGATTAAAGAGAGGGCATCAAATTTAATTTCCTTAGACAATCATTTATTTCAACGCCTCCTTATTTTTGAGAGGCAAATCTTGAAAGACTATATGATCAATCTTAATTAGTCATTTTAACATCATGATGCATAGGTTCTCGTCAAAAAAAATAATAATTAAAAAAAGAAAAAAAAATCATGATGCATAGGTTCTCCTCTTGTAATGACATGTTTTCTCTAATCAGTCATAATAATCTATACTATATATTAAAAAGTATTCCTTTTAAAGGAATGGTTACGGTGCACGTGACACTCTTCAAAAAATTTGCACAATGCCACATCACTAACCAAAGGAATATGCGCCACGTAAACTTGCCACTTCATTTAACAAAATAAATTATGCTTTGAGCGAGAATCGAACTCATAACCTCCAAAATACAAAGGTCATACATTTACCATCTCAACAAACCTTGATTAATGTCTTAAATTTCACATAATTAACATTATATATTCCTTTAATATATTAAGCAAATTAGAGGTCACATTTTTTATTTATTTTTCACAAGATTAGAAAATAAATACATATGAGGTAAAAAAAAAAATAACAGTAACACCCGAGACAACGCCCGAACCACACACTAACTATACAAACAGTCAAATTAAAGAAGTACAAACTAGCAATGCAGGGCATCGCCCAGGCCACAAACTAGTGAGTTCACTATAAACTTCACAAATGCGCATCATGATCTCGAGTGCCAGATGTATTTTTTTAAACACGATGACGGTTTTTGTAGCTTCTTAACCCACAGAAGGCCTATGGATAATTGGATATGCACCTCCAAGTCCAAAGGCCCATAAACTGAAGCCCAACAGTACACTACCAGACAATACAGTCTTCATCACTGATACAAGAGTGAGTGACATACACTTGTACTGGTGTTCTTTCTTGGATCAATTGCAGTGGGATTTTAGGAGAGAGAAAATCAACAAAAATGGAGACGAAACCAACAGAAATCAGCAGCTCTAAGATGCATGGAGGTTTCAACAAACGATTCAGGCATTTCAGCCCTACTCTTGGTTGTTTCATGACTTTTCACATCTACTTCCCCCCTTCTACTGAGTCTTCCCAGAAATTCCCTGTATGTTTCGAATTTCCCATTTTTAATGATTTTTAATCGTTTATGTTCTTGGGTTTCTCCACAATTAATGTTTTTAGTATGATGATTAGTTTGATTAATGTTTGTTTTTATGTTAGGGTTTGTGCTTGATTACTGTTTTAAAGTGTGAATTATTATTGATGCATGTTGATTTTATCTGTATTTTAGGATTTCTATATGATTATATTATGAATTATAGTTGGAGATTATTGTAAAAAACATTTGTTATGGCATTTAGCATAGCAAAAATGTAATAAAATGAGGATTGACTAGAGAATAAATGCGGGGAAGCGATTGAAAAAAACCCTCAAAATTTAATTTAGTGTGGGAATTGGAAAAAATGATCCAAAATGGAGGTAAAAAAATCCGGAAAACGAGCTGCCAAAACCCCTACTCGTACTTGTGAATATCATGATCATGAGAGTCCACAAAAGTCACATTAATTAGGCGAGAGTATAATACTTCGTATAACTCTCACGGCAATTGAATATCAACTCATAAATGAGCTTTCAAGTGGAATTGTGTGTGTATAAAACAAAACACTCTTATTAACAACCTTTGTCTCCCATATAGTCCCTAGTGCATTTTAAGGGTGCACAACTGCACAATCCTCTTGAAATGCTTGTATATCTCAATATTGTGGTGAATTAGGAATTTGAGACAGAAAACTAAAGGAAGAAGCTGAGTTTATTTTGTTTGATAGTCTGAAATCACAGGAAATTTTGAGATACACAAGCATTTCAAGAGGCATGTACACCCTTAAAATGCATTAGGAACTATATGGGAGACAAAGGGTGTTAATAAGAAGCCCCAAAAAATAAAGAATAGGAGAAAATGTATCCTATTGGGGCGATTTTAGCTTCATTTTTGGCAGAGCGGGAGAGGTGATCTCTTTCATCAAAGCAAGCGAAGATCCTGCTGGAGACGCTTGATAATGATCTAAATTAATCTCTCTCTCTCTTTCTTTATAGACTATAATCTCTCCTTTACTTCTTACTCAAGCTACTTCTAATTAAATTATGATGACAATTCCCCTTCCCCTATACTCAATGCATTACTAAAACCTTGAGATATGATTGTGAAACCTTCCATGAGTAGGAGCTAGAAAAATTTGGGCTTCTTTGTGTGGATGATCTGTTTTCATACAACAGCCGTTCTATTCAGTTATTCATAGTGGTCTATGTATATCCACTCTAACCAATTACAGCAAACTAATGCTAGTATGTCAGCTGGAGCACCATTTGTGTTTATACTTTGTTCTTAGAGATCTTTGCTACTTATTTGACATCCTTGCATCACTTAGAAACAGTAATTGATATTGACTTGATTAATCCACAGGTGCTTTACTGGCTATCTGGTCTTACATGTACGGATGAAAATTTCATCACTAAGTCTGGAGCTCAACGTGCTGCTTCTACTGAGGGCATCGCTCTGATTGCCCCTGATACTTCTCCAAGTAGGTCACATGATTGCTAGAACTTATTCTTGGCTCTGTTAATTGAATGACTTTTAGTAGTTGCTTTAGATGCCAGTTCATAGTAGCCAGTAGTCCAGTAAACCTCAAATGTTGTTTTGGGTGGGACAGTGGAAAATCTTGGAGGGACCTGATTGATTCAATCGATTTTTTATTTTTTTTTTCTGTATTTTTGCAAGTTATTGAGTTTTTGAACGAATGGCAGTGGCTTAGTTTTTCTGTACCATGGATTATATGATGAAAAATACATCTACTCAATAAAATAATACAAGTATTTAGTTGTGTGGAACACATCAAATTAAAAGATGAACACAATTCCTAGCTCTAACTACATTGTATTTTTATCTTAAATTTGTAGCCATATAAACAAAAGTATCACTAATATTATCTGACATTCAACAAAATTTGTGTGTATATCATATCTTTATATGATTTTGCAACAAAAAGGTGTATTAGTGTAAACTTATATATGAGCACAAATACGGTTTTTTCTCGGACTCTTCCAAATTGGTCTGGTCCAATCCAGGATCTGTTTTTGCCTGTGCAGTCTCTTGGTCTTGTGAAAAAAAAAATTGGGTGTCGGTCCAATTCTGGAGTGGTGAATGGCCCTGGATCTGCATTGAGTTCCAGAGATTTAGGCTATGATCAAGTGGGGGTTGGAAATAATTATCAAAAAGGGATAATTCACAAAAAAAAAAAAAAATGTTTTTTGAAATTTGTATAGATAAATCAGGATGGGACAAGTCATTTGTTCTCCTTTGTACCTTGTGAATATTCTTGTTGATTGATTATGTTATAAATTTTTGAGGGGCCAACCTTACATAATCTATAGTTTGAAGCCATTGAAGGACTGGGATTTAAATCCTTAAATTATGTAGCTACAACTTATAGGGAGGGAGGCAGCAAGGGGAGGGTTTGGGGGTGGGAAGGGCTCATCCAGCCTTACCATGCTTAGCTTCTGAAGAAGTTCGTTACACTTGTTAGTAGGTTCGGGGTGTCATTAGATTATGATGAATGATTGGATAGGTCCTGCTGCTTATGATAGGAGCTGTCATATGTATTTGAATTTTTGAAAGAAGCTTTTTCTTTCATTTTCTATCTTTTGAGGATTGTAGTCTGTAAATTCTGGCCAAGAACTGCCTGTCTTCGGATGTGAGAGGTTCTACAAGCGGCTATTCAATTACATATTTACATGGTATTTTGTCATAGACAAACAGGCAGCCTTTAAAATTCTGTGACTTGGTGCTACCCAGTTGTCTGTTTCATTCTTGGACTATCAAGAGTATCAACCAACTTGCTATGCCAACTTTTTGGTTCCTGTTTTACTGTGCTCTTACTAAATTGATTGTCATTCTGTTTATTTTTGTTTCTAGTTATGCTTTCTAAAAGCTGCACATTGACTGCCCCTCTTATTTGTATTCCAGGAGGGCTAAATGTCGAAGGAGAGGCTGATAGCTGGGACTTTGGTGTAGGTATGAACTAGCTTTGTAGCTGTTATTTGTTATGCGATAGTAATTGCTTGATACAATTGTTCACATTAAGATCATGATTAGTTTAATTTTATACTGATTGCCCCATTCCATCGTTCTGACTCCTCATATTTCTCCTCTGTTATAGGCGCGGGGTTCTATTTGAATGCTACACAAGAGAAATGGAAGAATTGGCGTATGTATGATTATGTTGTTAAGGAGTTGCCTGAACTCCTGAAAGAGAATTTCCCACAACTTGACACAACACGTGCATCAATATCAGGGCATTCAATGGGGGGGCATGGGGCGTTGACTATATACCTGAAGAACCTTGACAAATATAAGGTATATCTATTTATCACAAAAGAAAATGCCCACCCAGTTCCGTACATAGTAATTCTGAGCTTCAACAATCAACACTGAACTCCCTTCTATAAATCAAATCTAATAGAAGCATCTTCGCTGCAGACGGTATCCGCCTTTGCACCAATTGTGAATCCAATTAACTGCCCTTGGGGCCAGAAAGCTTTCAGTAACTATCTGGGAGGAAATAAGGCACACTGGGAGGTACGAGCACTTTGTTCTGGTTTGTTGATATAATGACGAAAATTCATAGATGTTACATGGTGTAATATTTGCTATCTTGCAGGAATATGATGCTACTTGCTTGGTTTCAAAGTTCCATGATCTTTCTGCATCCATACTTATTGATCAGGTAAGATTTGCTTCAGTTAAATCATCTTCTCATTTGGTACATAGACAACTCGATTCTGATAAAAAATTGGCTTCCATCCCCGTTTTTTAATTGAATTTACGAATTTGCATCCACAGGGGACAGATGACAATTTCTTGCATAATCAATTGTTGCCGAACAAATTTCAAGAGGCTTGCGAGAAGGTCAATGCACCGCTTTTGTTGCGACTCCAGCGTGGATATGACCATTCCTACTTCTTCATTGCTACTTTCATTGATGATCACATCAGCCACCATGCTCAAGCCTTGAAGTTGTAACTCTCTATTTCGAGAATCTAGTGTGAGTGTGTGTCTACTTGTGGTTATGCATTGCTGTTAAAATCATGTTGGATTAATTTTGCCTTAGCTGAAAGGTGAAGGATGGATGTCAAGGATAGAATGTCAATAAGAAATGTCATGTATGTTTTCATATGTGAGTGCTTCTGTTATGGATTCATGCCCACTATTGAAAGTGCCAGAATCTATGCTTTATAAACCCTATAACTTATAAAATTACTAGTTTCTGAAAATCATGATTTGTGTTTTTAAATGCAGTGCTAACAGTATCTGGGTATCTTTGATGACAGATGACCTAGAAACACACTAAATTTGCTCGGTCCTATATGTCGTTGAAGAAATATTTTGTTCACCTAATTTCCACTTATTTAAAGAGTTTATACTCATCTAACTTTATTCCGATTTTTTGTGTTACAAAGTTATGATTAATGTTTGTTAAAAAACTTTATAACGGAATTGGACTCAGGCTGCACTCTCGGACAATCACCCCTTGGCTAGCAATGTGCCCTTACACCAAGCTACCTCATGGACTAATATGACATTATGACTAGTAAATTTGTATCTTTTTGCATGATTTTGGGATTTATGTTTCTGGTGAAGATACCCAAAGGCAACACTTTTAATAAAAATAATGATATCAATTGTGTAACTAGAAAAGAAAACAATTTCAAAAACTAATTAAACCACTAATTTTAGGCAACACCATTTCTCAAAAAAACACTTTAGTTACCTATCATTTACCTTCTTTTTTGTTACAATAGCAAATTAGCAGTATAGAACTACATAAAAGTAAATTATTTCTATGCAAACGTTTTTGTCTAAGAGGGATCCTAAAGAAAGGGAATGGAGCTTAGCTTCCATTATCTTCTTGCATCACAAATGGTTACCTTATTAACTTTGCCTGAGCCATCTACATATACAAGTTGAAGGCCAAATTAAACCGTGGGATGTAAATAGGGGGTGGAAGTTTGAGAAATTTTATGTGCTTGAATTGATTTGAGGATGGAGAAGCATTAGACAACAACTACTGGAATGGTTCGTTGTTTTGGGATTACAATAACTCGGCCATTAGAATCATTCGTTATGAAGATACTCCAGCTTATTTGGAGTATGCAAGCCTCAACGAATTTGGCTAGCAATTCAAGACATGATGACAAATGCTAATCAGTTTCCTTCGACATCTTACCTCACATCCTAGATGATTTATATATGTGGCCAATGTGGGTGGATAGATGAAAATATGGATCATATTCTGAGACGATGATTTACAACTTTGGCATGGGAAAAACTTGGCTAGAAAGGAGGAAAATAATATGAACTTGAACCATATTCTAGGACAACGATTTACAACTTTGGTATTGGAAAAACTTGGCTAGAAAGGAGGAGAATAATATAAACTCGTAAATTTGAGCTAGAACCTCTAATGCATTTAGATGCATATAAAAGGTAAGCGCATCACCAAAAGGTAACTTGAAAATTTTACAATGACATTATCCACTGATTAAAAAAATACTCTTGGATGCACTCTGCACCAAGTTAGTTGCATTAAAAAAAAAATTCAAATTAAGCAAAAGATGACTAAACAAGAAGAGTGAATAAATTAATGTTCAAAAACCATATGAACTATCATTCACACAAACATCTACGATAAACATTAAGATGACCATTCCAAAAGATCGTGCAATGCTTTTCACCAAAAACTAAAGATCATGAAACCTCTTCAATATTTTCTGATTTACATTCTAAATGAATAATTAATATACAGCAAAGACAGTACTCTGTTTAAATTTCCTGTGATTGATCATTGATGTTACTTATATACACTGCTCGCTAAACTATAATTGCCAGTTTAAAAAGGCACCATTAATTGAAGAACCTGTACAACACTTACAACCGGGCATCTTGCTTCCCACAATCCAACGTAGGGATCAGCAAAAACGAAAGCAAGAAATCCAGTTAGGTAAAAACAAAGCTAACATGTACTGATGATTCCTATTTCCTAAGACGGGGAAATATTAAACTATAAGCCACTTTGATGAGATGGGGGTTTTTCTCCTGACAATGTTGCCAAACCTCCTAAACTCTGATCAACGGAAGGTAAGTTTTGAGCATGAGGCTGCTGAGGAACTGCAAAAGGAGCAGCAGTAAATGCAGGTTCAATGTTTTCATTCACACTCTTAGTCGGTCTTTCCCTCTTTGGCCTCTTTGGTCTTTGCTGTTGGTCAGGGTTGTTAATGAAGCCATCAAACTCATTCCCTTGCATTGAGCCAGCATCAATTTTTTCTGCATCAGTGGCTTTTGCAGCTTTCTGCTTCGGCTGACGTTTATCACCAGTTTTTCTCTGTAATAATGAGAGATTAACATCAGTTGCAGATCAAAATGCTGATATATTTCACAAACACCTGCAAACCAAGTCTACCAAAAAGGGAGTAAAGTTACTACAGGTACTGGGGAAGAGACCAGAAAGAGCCTTGTACCCAGTTTGTACTTTGGTTATTATTAGACAGGAAAAGGAAAACAGGAAAATGCACAAGCTTCATTTTACAGAGTAATCAGGCCATACTAAGTCGATGATAATTTTTTTTTTGGAATACCCTCCAAGCATACTCACGATAAAGCACAAAAACATAAACACAAGGATAGTATCAGAAAATTATTGAAACAAAATTCTCACTAAGTCCCATTACTTTTTTATTGGACTTTGGCTTTTCTGAATCTGGAGAGGGTTCAATAACAGCAGCTTCATTTGCAATCTTATCAAGATCTTCCAAAGTAGCCTCTCCTTCTGCATCTATCCTTATGCCTTTATTTACACGCCTTTTCTTTTGTTTATCTTTGACCTGGGAAAGTGGAAAACAAATTCATTTTAAGAGTGATTTTTGAGAATTAGTGAAGACAGGGACATGACCAGTTTTAAAAAAAATATACGCCTGGAGTCATGTTGAATAATTGTTGCTACACTAACCTGTATAGGAATTTCTTTCAATTTCTGCTCCAATTGAGCATCATCAATGAGTAAAGAGACAACATCTTCTGGCGCCACTAAATCACCTTGTACATGGCCTCCAGTCATTACAAGCTGCTGAACGGTACTCTTTTGACCTGCTCTTTGTAAAATTTTCTCCTCGACAGTCTCTTTGCAAATTAAACGGTAGACAGTAACCTATAATGTCAAAAGTGCATATGTTATGAACTTCTAACAACAATTACTTTGAACTACAAACCAAAACCATGAACTTCTAACAACAATTACTTTGAACTACAAACCAAAACCACTCTTATCCTTTCCTTCCTTGAGGGCATCCCACCCCACCGCCTTTCTTTATCCTTTACGCTTAAGGAGGATGGGGTGGGGGATAAGAGAAAAACATTACACTCCATATATAAATCTGTGACCGCAGTTTGTCTAGATAACAACCTTCTGCAAATCGCTTTTTCTAACTTTAGAAGCTTCTAATGATATCTTTGGTTTTTAAGCTTTCTATGATGATGGCAGATAATCGAGCAGAAATCAGCACAGCACAAATATTCAAATCAAGCAATATTAAATAGATATATTCAAAACTCTCATGTCACTGTAGAATAGAGTTGATGGTGCTGGAAGTTGAGAATGTAGAAAAAACCAACGGCCCCACGTGCAAAGACATTTAATATTCTCTAAAACATCAGTTCTACAGTGATGCAGTATGATTGACAAAAGAGTGACTAAATAGGCAAAACAAATAAACATTCATCCAAGAAAGCAAAACAAGAAATATCAATGTTTGAAAAGTTTTCTTATGAAACAAACAGATCAAAAAGACTCACATCTTTGGTCTGACCCAAACGATGAGCTCTGTCCATTGCCTGCAAGTCCAAGGTTGGATTCCAGTCGATTTCATAAAATATCACAGTATCCGCAGCTGTTAGATTGATACCCAGACCACCTGCCCTTGTACTAAGCAGGAATACAAAAATATCATTCCTGTAACACAAAAAAACCAACACAAAATGATCACTCCTGCACATCATTAAATCAAGTGTTCCATCAACTAGCTTAACAAAAGTTCTCCTCTGTCCATTTACTCGTAACCACCCCCCCAACCCCCGGCTGATTGTTTTGCTAGGAGAAAACACCATAACCACGCAGATTGGAAAGAAATTAAATCTTTACCTATGTTGGAAATCTTGAACCATGTCCCGTCGGTCCATGATGGTTGATGATCCATCAAGTCTAAGATACTTGTATTTTCGATAATTCATATAGTCCTGAAGAAAACAATAGTTCAGACCCGTTATATACCCCTCAACAATGAGGTAACAAGGAAAGTGAAATAAGAGCACAATGAAGAAACAGCAGTCAAAATGCACTACAAGACAAATCTTTCTTGCTGCAGTAATAACCAACCCATAACTACAATACAATTTCAAGATATGAGAATCTACAAGCTGGCAGCTAAAAGCTAGAATAAGGCTCAATTGCAAGGTGTTGCAACTGGAGAATTGTATCAGCCACTAACTAAGCTAAACAAGCATTGCATATTAGAAGCTACACACACTGATGATAACTCCAATAATAAAAGATATAGGCACAACAAGTCAAATTTATACTACCCATTTTAAGAGTAGTCTTTCACAAAACTCTGCCAGGTAATAATGCGGGCTCTATTGCCTGTATACCATATACACACACATTCATTAATATCGTCCCCCTGTCAAAAAGGGACAGATGTAGGCAGCAGTGCTTGAACCCACAGCCTTGTAATAAAAAAGGTGGAAATTACCTCCAAACAATGACACAACTAATGACAACAAAATCATCAATAAAGGAGAAATGGCTATAATAATAAATTTCAGAACTTAAATGCTCATCTTTGTTAAGTAGTTGATCAACAAAAAAATGAATTTAACAATCTATAATCACACAACTCAGGTCTCACCTCTCTTCAAGTAAATATACTCCGTATTTAGGTGTCATTTTTTTCTAGTAAATATTTCAAAGACTAATACAGTCATACATACCTATTTATTAAGGTAACAAAATAATGACAGGAAGAATAAAAATCTATACACAAATTTTTTTGGTTAATCAAACCAATTTATAATTTTTGTTTACTGTATATACAAAAATCGCACATTTGAACAAAATTTTCACAAGAATATATTTTTAAAAATGAAATGTTACAACAGATGTTATTTACAGTGTTTGAGACTTGATAAAAAAATTAAAAAAAACTGTAGCAATCTAACGTGC